TTCTCATGACCCTTTTTACTTTCCAAGAAATTCCCTTAGAAGACTTACTTGCACATAAGCTAATTGTTTTTCCATGTTTTTGTTTTGTTTTGGTTTGGTTTTTTAACCAATCATCTGAGGATAGAGAGGGTCTGCAGATGCGGGAAGCTGAGAAAAATAATAAATATAGAACACAGGGTGGCAGAAACAGGAGGGTCGACTGCAGCAATTATGGGTTCCGTCTGTCTGGTATTTTTCTCTTTCCCCTTCTGATAACAGCACCCCCTTTCCTTTAGAGAACTCTTCCCTCAGATTATGTGGTCCTATTAGGCTGTCAATCATAAAGACCCACCCCTATGGCCATGAAGAGCAAGCATGTGACGTTAGCTGGGCCAATCATTGTACTGCATCCTTCTGAACACAGTGATTGGTCCAACGGATGAACATGTGATTTAAGCCTGGGCAATTTACATTCTTCCCTGGGATTTTTTAAATTGGAGATGGAGAGGTAGCCCTTTCTTCTTTCTTGATTATAGAATGTAAGTTTATAGGCCTGGGCTGTTGAGGCCATCATCCCTGCCATGGGGAACGCCAACACAGAGAGGAGCAGAGATGAGAAACAGCAGAAAAGGCAGACTGACTTCTAACATCACGGAGTGCCTGCTTCCTGAGGTCTAGTTCCGACAATACTTCCTCTTCAGTGAGTTCCCCTGTGTTTGTCGCAGCTCCTGAGTCAATAAGTTATCCTTTTCCTTAAGCCAGTTTGAATTGGGTTTCTGACACCTGAAACCAAATGAGTTCTAATGTTGTTGTTGTTAGGTGCCGTCAAGTCGGTTCCGACTCGTAGCGACCCTGCGTACAACAGAATGAAATACTGCCCTGTCCTGTGCCATCCTCACAATTGTTGTTATGCTTGAACCCACTGTTGCAGTCACTGTGTCAATCTATCTCGTTGACAGTCTTCCTCTTTTTTGCTGACCCTCTGCTTTACCAAGCATGATGTCCTTCTCCAGGGACCAATCCCTCCTGATAACATGTCCAAAGTATGTGAGACGTAGTCTCTCCATCCTTGCTTCTAAGGAGCATTCTGGCTGTACTTCTTCCAAGACAGATTTGTTCCCTCTTTTGGCAGTCCATGGTATATTCAATACACTTTGCCAACACCACAATTCAAAGGCGTCAATTCTTCTTCTTTCTTCCTTATTCATCATCCAGCTTTCGTGTATATATGAGTTCTAATACAATGACTTAATACGGTCCCCTTGGACTAGAATGATTAGTTCAGCTGTAAAAAATAACATTCTCTGAACAAAATTTGGAAAATATGTACAAATATAAAGTATAAAGAAAAGTCACTGATAATTTTACCTCTCACAGACAAACACTGTTAACATTTCCCATATTTCCTTCCAGGCTTTGTTTTAAGTATGGGATCACACGTATGCAGTTTTGTGCTTCTCTTTTTGTTACTTACCATTATATTGTAAGCAATTTCTCATGCTGTTGTCATTGTTAGTTGTTATCGAGGGGATTCCGACCCATGGCGACCCCATGTGTGCAGAGTAGAACTGCTCTGTAGGGTTTTCAAGGCTGTGACCTTTCGTAAGCAGATCATCAGACCTGTCTTCCGAGGCACCTCTGGGTGGTTCAAATCTGGTAGGGCTGTGCTCAGGTCTTCACTCAGTCCCCATATGTTGAGCACCTACTGTGTGTCAGGCACTCTGTTGGACACTGAGGTAGAGGAATGAATTTCAAGAGTCCTTAGACTAAGCCCCTAACCTGGAGGACTACCCCGCCTAGTAGAGGAGGATACCTGAACACAGACACCTAGACTAAAGGTGAGTGTTCAGGGCCCTAGCAGGCCCTGAAGGTTTGGAAGGACAGTAACTGGCCCGTGACTCCAATAGCACTTTCCCACACAGGAAGGAAATGTTCATCCTCCACAAAAGCTGCAGGGCATCAGTGACCAGTCAGCTTCCGGGAAGAAGGGTTGAACTCAGGAAGCAACCATGAGGTGTAAATGGACATTGGGGGGGCTGTTTTAGTTTTCTAAGGCTGATGTCACAAAATAGCACAAAGTAGGTGGCTTTAAAGAACAGAAATTTACTGTCTCACAGTTCTGGAGGCTAAAAAGCCAAATCAGAGTATCGGCTGTGGTGACTCCTTCAGTGGGCTCCGAGAGAAACTGTTCCCTGCCTCCCTCCTAGCTGCTGGTGGCTCCCGGCAATCCTTGGCATTCCTTGACTTGCAGCTGTGTCTGCCTCCCTCGTCACGTGGCCGTTCTTCCTCTAACTCTACCTTTCTATTTTTCTCTTTTATAAGACACTACTTTGGATGGGATGAGGAGCCACCCTACTCCATACGACCTTATGTTGACCTATTTCCAAACAAGGTCACATGCATAGGTACCAGGGGTTAGGGATTCAACAAATTTGGCAGGGGAGCTTGAATTACCCTGGCATTTTTCTAACCTCTTTGCCAGTTACAAATTCACTTTCATCCTCATGCTTTCCACGTGTACCATTTTTCTGATTATACATAAAGAAAATGCAAATCCAGGGATGTTAAGTAACTTGCCCAAAATCACACAACCAATCCCCGGTAGATACTTAAAGCCCTGTTCCTTGTCTTCAAATTTCTTAAGAAAAAAAAAATAGGTATGCAAAAACGGCACCGTGGCGGCATCTTACCTTGTCTAACATCAGGGGGAGAAGAGAGGATCAAGATCAACATTGGCCAACAGATGACTCCTTTGAGGCAGAGGTCAAACATACTTCCTCTCGCCAACCTTTTTACCGATTCTGACACCAACCATCCCTCCCACAGCACCCTCTACTTCTCTGCTGGGCTTGACAATTTATTGCAATGACCACACAGGACTCACAAACCATAGTCACAGTTATGGGGTTTATTAGGGAAGTAATAGGTTATAATTCAGGATCAGGAATGACTTGGAATATAGTTCTTCGGTCAGGACAGCTTTTCAGCCATGCCCGGAGGCAGGTCTCTCCTGAAGCCCCCCAGCCCCTCAAACTCTCAGCCCTTTGGTCCCTGCCCTGCTCAGGCAAGCGTTACAGCCCTTTAGTTCTGCCAATAAGTGCCCAAAGGCACCCCACTCCACCAGTAAGCCTCAGCCCAAAGGCACTCAGCTCTCTCACTCTGTGAGTTGGCACACTCACTGTAACTGCCTTGCCTTATGGACTGGGAAGCCCACTGTGACGTCTTGCACCAGTCTCCCGGTTCTGCACCTGCCGATTTGTTTGCTGCCGCCTCAAACCATCTCTGGTGTCACAGCTCTGTCTCCTGGGTCTAGGAGGTTTTCAGCACAGGAGATCTGGGTCCAAAGGACATGCTCTACTCTGGGCTCTTCCTTCTTGACGGTAGTGAGGTCCCCCCCTCGCTTCTGGGATTGGCTCCCTGAAGTCTAGCAGGATGGCAAAACTCAAGTAACGGGCTACAACCTGGGATCCGGATCAGGAATTATGTAGGCAAAGTCTCCCTTCAGTGCAGGACAGCTCTCTCAGCTCCTCTTGGCCATGCAAGGCTCCTCTTGGCCCCCTCAGGACAGGCTCCTCTCTAAGCCGCCTCAGGCCTGGCCTCTGCCCTGCTTGGTCAAGTGTTACAAAGCTCTTTAGCTCTGCCGACAAGTACCCAGAAGAATCCCACTCCGTCAGCAAACCTTCAGCCCGGAGGTGCTCAGCTCTCTCACTCCATGGATCAGCATGCCCACTGCAGCCACCTTGCTCTGTGGGCTGGGAAGCCCACTGCACTGTCTCATGCTGGTTTCCTGGTTCTGCTGCAGCTGTTTCTCTGTGGCTGCTTCTCACTGTCTCTGGTGTTACAGCTCTATCTCTGTCTCCTGGGTCTAGGAAGTTCTCAGGGCAGAGACCTCGGGTCCAAAGGGTATACTCCACTCCCAGCTCTTCTTTCTTGATGGTAGTGAGGTCCATTTCTCACTTCTGGGCTTGACTCCCTTTAAGCCTAGTAGGATGGCAAAACTGACCAATCCCCTTGATAGAGTTCCATACACCTTATTTGCATGGTCCCACCAACACAAGTCTTCTATGTACCTTATTTGCATTGTTAGTAAGCTGTCCAATCCCCTTGGTGGGCCACAAGTAACTTATTTGCATAGTCTCACCCAATCATTGTGTGGGAGTCACAGGACTGTGCATGGCTAAAAGGGCCATATTAAGTAATTCACCACACTGCAAGAGACTACTAAACTTACATCCAAAAGTTGTAAGGCCAAGTGTGCATAAGAGTGAACATTTGGGAGTCAAAGAGGGATAGGAAGAGACAGCATTTAATCATGAACTAACCCTTGAAGAAGTGAATCAGGAATTTTGGAAAGAAAGTGGGCAGGGGGAAGAAAAATGGAGACAAAGCCACAAATAGCAAGGGTCTTAAACTCAGATGCCTACAGGGGCCAAGCAAAGAACAGGAATGAGTGAAATGCTCCAAGTGTGAACAATAGGGAATGGTGGAGACTGTGGCACACTTAGTTCCCATCTAAAGGGGTAGCTTCTTCAGAGCCTTAGCCTGACGTGTGGATCCAGCATCAGATTTTCCAGAGAACCAGAAAATTCAGATCTTATGTTAAATTTCCAGATTTTTAAACATCAGCAATTGTCATGGATTGAATTATGTCCCCCAAAAAACGTGTGTATCAATTTGGCTGGGCCATGATTCCCTGCATTGTGTGATTGTCCTCCATTTTGTGATTGTAGTTTTATGTTAAAGAAGATTAGGGTGGGATTGTCACATCCCTGATCCAATGTAAAGGGAGTTTCCCTGGGGTGTGGCCTGCACCACCTTTTATCTTACAAGAAATAAAAGGAAAGAGAATCAGGCAGAAAGTCGGGGACCTCATACCACCAAGAAAGCAATGCCAGGAGCAGAGCGTGTCCTTTGGACCCGGGGTCCCCATGCAGAGAAGTGCCTAGTCCGGGGGAACATTGATGAGAAGGCTGACAGAGAGAGAAAGCCTTCTCCTGGAGCTGACGCCCTGAATTTGTCCTTTTAGCTTACTTTACTGTGAAGAAATAAACTTTTCTTTGTTAAAGCCATCCATTTGTAGTATTTCTGTTGTAGCAGCACAAGATGACTAAGACAGCAACTAATTCAAAAATTTTACATAACTTTTCAGGTCAGAATAACTCATCTACAGTATCCCTGTGGGCTGCGAGTATGCAACCTCTGGTGGACTGAAAGGCGAGACTCAGGCCTGGGGCCCCATGCAAAGAAGTCTGAACACTGATGGACACAAAATATGTTATTTATTGTCAATTTCTGCAAAGACACATTTAAGCAACAAAATATACATTTGTCAACCCTTTAGAATTTGTTTTATACATTAACAAATACAATGTGCTACCATAGCAATAAATTAAATGTACACTATTTACATTACATAGCAATTGGGGTCTACAAATCACCTCCTCGTTAAGAGGAAAGAAAAAAAGAAAGAAAAATCATCACCATACAGATCATCATTTCCAGGCTACACTTCTTAGATTCTATGACACAGAGGAATCTCTTCACACTTAAACATCTGCACTCCCCGGGCTGGAGTGCCGAAGGGTAACATTCATACAAGGGGGTCAGCACACATGCTAGGGAGCAGGAAGCGAGATTGGCCTTCCAAGCAAAAATGGCACAAAATCAAAGACAATGGCAATTCAGTTCCGGTCTTCCAGCCAAACAGCCCCTCCTCATGGCTGGTAAGGCACAGGACAGAGCCGCTGCCCCAACCGCCTCTCTGCCCTTAGGAGCGATCTGCTGCCCTTGACCCTAGTGGGGGTTGACTTCTTCCTCCCCAAAGGGGCACATGTGGGTGCCCCCACTGAGCACCTGGTCCAGCTGAAAGGAGAGAGATGTGGGGCTGGGGTGAGCAAGGGGCTAGAGATAAAACGTATCAGAGCTTGGCAGAGGTGTGCCCCAGCCAGCCCCCCAGATAGGCTGCAGAGGCAGCCTTAGCGAGCGTTTACTGACCCACCTTCACCTCTGAGAAAGGGGCAGCTAGAGGCTGAGCAAGGAGCTGTGGAGTCCTGAGCCCAGCTGCCTGGCCCTGGTCCCTACTGGCCACCTGTAGCCATAAGATCTACCTGAACTCCCACCCATTCCCCCGCAACTGACCTGTCTCCACTGACTTAGAAATGAATGCAGAAGGTAGTGTTTGCACTGGCACCTTAAAGGGTCAGGGCAAGAAAGTGAAGAGTTCACGTCCTGCCCCGTCACCTAAGTTTTATTAACCACCTTTGTTTTAGGAATCAGGGAGAATTGAAGAGATTTCCTTTACCACTTTTTTTTTTAAAACGGACAAGTGAGAGTTGGTTAACTGCATCTTTGCCCAGGCCTCCGACCCCTTTATAGACCGGTGTCACCTCGGTGACTGCCTGAGCCAGAGAGGACCTGCTCACTGGAATCGCGTCCCTCCTTGTTTTCCAAGCTGCATCCCACACCCCAAGACCCTCACTGAAACATCCAATAGAATCTCCCCCCAGATGGAAAAAACAGAGAGAGAGGCTCCACCAGCATCCTTGACTGCATTGCCTCCCGGCCAGAGCTGAGGCACAAGCTTACTGGCTTCTCCAAAGCCCACGGCCCCGGGAAACACAGCCACTTATTCACCAGTATGTAGATGGTGCAGAGGAAAGGTCCCTGGGTTGTGGGTTCTAACCCCATCCTTGCCAAAAGCTGCGTGCGTACCCTAAAGCATGTCATGTCCCCTCCCTGGGGCTGAGTTTTCTCGTCTGTATGAGGACGTGGTTGGACTAGATGATATATTAGGTCCAGGAAGAAGATAATCTTGACAAGGCTCAACCACAGAATCTTTTCCAAGCAACATCATTAACATTCATTAGCATAGACAGAAACTCCAGCTAAGACCTTCTATCTAGAGCTCTTTCTGCATCTGTTTTTAAGCATCAACTTAGCTGGCAGCATGTGGGTGCCCCTACAGCACTGAAAGTAGTCTCTTCAGTGAATCAGGCAGCTCTCAGAGCCACAGAGTGTCCAGGAAATGCCCTTTTTATGGAGATTGTAAGTGAAAATGCCTCAAATGCCAGCATGAGCACCCTCTAAACAAGTCTGGTCACAAAAATCCATGTGGCTTGAGCAAACCTTTGTGCCCGAAGCCTGGGTGCAGCAATTGAAGGAAAGACTTTATGGATTAGAGCAGACACAGGGAGAGTGTGGGGGAAAGCCCTCCAGGAACTAGAGCTGCCTGCCCTCCAGTCCAGGCCGGTGAGGGGAGACTGGGCCCCATCCTTGTTCTCCTCCGTCCCTCCGTATGGGGACCTCAGGTGGGCTGGTACTGCGCACTCCAAAAGCTGTAGGATGGACCTTCTAGAGATGATGAGGCAAGGTTCAGAGGGAGCGAGATTTCGGGTCCTGTCCAGAGCATCCCAATAGCAAACAGAGGGTCAGACTATTTTCAGAGCTGTGCATTTTAGGAAGCACATCAGTGCCTCCTAGTTCCTTTGGACACATGCCACCATCCTGCCCACTACTCAGAACCAACACAGCCAACCAAACCAGTTGCCGTTGAGTAGAACCCGACTCACAGCAACCCCGTGTATGCGGAGTAGAACTGCTCCACAGGGCTTTCAAGGCTGTGACCTTTCAGAAGCAGGTCACCAGTCCAGCGCTTAACTATTTGCGCCATCTAGGGACTCCACCCACCACTCAGAGGCAGGAGCAAACCCGCCCAGGAGGTGGGGGCTGCAGCAGAAAGCAGCTAGAGTGATGGGGAGAGCAGGACAGAGTGGGGACCCCCTGAAAACCTCCGAGAGCCCCCAGACGACCATGCAACACAACACATCCTCAAGCAGCTACCAATACGAGCTACCCAGAGGGGCGAGCCAGAAACCTGGAATATGTTTTAAAGAAATGTAGTTTGACCTTTCTACTTCCTTCAGAAACCCAGCCAACAGAACGCTGTCAGAACCCACGGGCCTCGTTCCAGCAGTGGGTGCTGCTGAAATGATTTTGAATAGGACTCAGTTAAGCTGAACAGCTCTTCTGTGGATCTCCTAACTGGAACAGATTTTCTAGACTAGCATTTTATATACACACATTTCCCAACAGTGTAAGGGGAGAGGTCACCCCAGCCTGCAAATAGAATCCCTCAATTGCCACGTGAGTGGGTACAAAGGATCGAGATTTTGCTCTTACGACAAAAGCAATGGGGAAATTGTCACAACATCAGTCAAAAAAATGTGTAACATTTATATGCCTCGGCTTGGGAACGAGCCCATTTCCCTCTATAAATAAAGCATTGTTGGAAATACTTGTTGTCTACTCATGAGAGCGGGCAGGCCCAGGGCTCTACCCTGGCAGCCCCACACCACAGAGGCGCCAGATGCACCGAAGCCGATCACCTCCAAGGGTCCTGCTCTTCAGACTTCATGTTTCACCTGGAGGACATGCCACCTTAAAGCCCACCATGGCCAGGCGTCAGAAATGGCCTGTCACACCCCAGACTGGGAAGAATGGGGAGCTGGGGAGCTGCTCCTCAGGAAGTGAGCTGGTTTGTTCCAGCAAAGGTGGCTCTGGCTGACGGTGCGGGTGGCACAGGGCGCCTGCACCACACTCAGAGGCAGCCAGGCTGCAGGGCTTCCACAAATGTGACCATTGCCCACAGACCACAGTTAGAGAGGGCAGGAGGAGGACTGGGGGACGGAGCCCAGGTACACTGAAGGGCACCGTGGCTGGAAGCAGCTCCCGAGGCAGCGCTGAGCCCCTACAGATGCCAGGGACATAAGTCGCTGAAGGATGTTGTGCTCCCTCCCCAAACCTCAGTTCTGCTTCCCACAGATCAGCTTGACCAGACCCTGACAGTGTCTCTCTTGCTCTTACCTGAGTAGCAGGTGGGTTAAGGATTTCTGCCTTCCATGAACCCTCACCAGCAGTGCATCCCAGCCGAGCTCTCAGGCCCTGAGGTCTTCCTCAGTCAAAGCCCACTCTCCCTGAATTCCCTCTCACTCCTGCCTGCCCACCCCTTCATGGGAAAAATGGCTTCTCAAAGGGGAGACAGTGACATGCAGCTTCTCACAGCAACCATCATGAGGAGCACGCGTCAAGTTGGGTGGGACAGAAAATTCCAGCTGCAGTCAAGGAGGTGTGCAGCGCCCTTCCTGCACACGCCCAGCTGTCTCTGAGCTTCAACGGGCCAGTGTCCCTCCCGAGATACGTGGGCAACAGGACAGGGAGCCCTGGCCTGACATCAGTTGATGGGTAAGAAGTTCTTAGCACAGAAGCAAGTAGACATTTCAAAGCCCTGGAAACGTGGGAGCCACCGAGCTCATTTTTATCAGGATGGTGTCCTGATTGTACAAATCTTGGTTCCTGGAAAAGAGGTCCCTCCACCACCACTAAATGCATCTGCTCTGGCTCCAGCCTGTCATGTCCATGAAGGCACTGTGACCGAGGACACACAGGGATGCCCCTGCTGTTGGTCTCTGTTCCCCGCCTCATCACTCTCTGCCTTTGTGGCAGATGAGCCCCCCCAGCTCCCGACAGTGCCCCAGCACCCCAATCCCTCCTTGCCCAACTCCCTTTTCCTCTGCAGACAAAACAAGATGACAAATGACCCAGACAGACATTACACCGGAGGAGACAAGGAGGGGGGGCCTCGAGGGAGGAGGCCTTGTCCAGAGATGGGGAGGTGCTTGCAGGGTCTTGGTGAGGTGCTTGCAGGGATGTGGCTGGACGGGGACACTGGGACAGACAGACAGCTCGTCTGGTGGGCAGATGGCCGAGTGGGGCAATGGGCCTTGATGGTCCGAGTAGTGGACGGCACCCCCAAAGAGCTGGACTAGGAGCCTTCTCCAGGACAGAATGGAGGCTTCCCTGGAGAAGACAAGGAGGAGGGAAATAATGACCAAAAGTTCAGCGAAGGAAGGCAGGGAGAATACAAACCCTGATGGTGCAGAGCCCAGAGGGCAAGGGGGTGGGCAACAGATGTGCCCATGGCTACAGCCCACTGAATAGATTTAGGATGAGGAAGGAGACAAATACAGGGTGCTGGACTTTCTACAACTGGGGTATTCTTTGTCAGCCCCAGGAAGTTGAGCACAAACATTAATCTGGTAAACCGAGGCATCTGGGAGTTAAAACGGGAACACCAACACTCCCATTTTCTCTTCTGCTTTTTCACAGATCAGGTTTACATAAAGTGGCCTCAGCCTGACCCCTCCTCTTGGTTCCAATTGTCACTCATACCCCTGGGAGTCCCATGGTGGGCAGAGGGCGGGCGGGGGTCGGGGGGTGGGAGGAGGTCAGGTGTGTCTCTAGCAACGTCACTAGCAGCGGTTCTGGTCTTGATGGTGGTGAGCTGGACCCATGCCCCTCGCTACTAAAGACCACGTGACCCCTCGAGCAGAGATCCACCCTGGAGATGTCCCTTACAACGTTAGGTGGTCAGGGGCACTTCTGGGCACAAGAGGGAGGACACAGACCAGCCCAGAGTGCTGGCCAAGGACTCCAGGGACACTTGGCTAGGAGGAGGGAAGGGCTGCCTGAGAGCAGGGAGACAAGGGGGCAACCTGAAGAATTCCTCCCACTGGGAGAGGAAGGTGGGCTCTGGGTTGCTGCCATTTTCTATCCGCTGCAACCAGGCTCCATCCAGTGGGAGAGAGCTCAGTCTAGTGTGTCTGGCCCAATCCTATCGGGCAACCCTTCCCATCCACCCCCAAGGCCATCCTGTCCCCTCTTCCCCATCCAGACCTGGGACCCATCATCCTAGAGGCTTCAGGGATTATTTTATTATCCCTTTTATATTTTTATAAACTAAAACGATTTTATTTTATTATGCTTTACTATTATCTATTCTGCCAGCTGGCGGGATCACTCCGGGTATTCTCAAGGTTATAAGGCCACTCGTACCCTAATCTTAAAGGGACCCACCGCCCCTCACGGCCACAGCAGGTGAAATACTCAACGCACCTTTAACAGGCGAAGCACTCCTGTTTCACATTAGTGGCCCTGTTTCAAGAAAAATCCATATAAGAGAAAAATCCAAATATACTCAAATCCATCACTTTCAAATTATTTTACTACGTTTCACTAGTGTCTACGCTCTTAAGGCGATTTACGTCTGTTATATCTGAATGGTGGTAATACTATGTAATGGCGTGCTACCGGGCGCCTCTTCCCAAGTCCACGTTCGGTTTTTAATAACCAGCAACATAATCCCACCAATGGCAGCTCCTGCGCACTCAGCTCTCAGCTCTCCAGTGAGCGCAGGGAGAGAAACGCGAGCTGATTGTCAAACACAGTCATTAAGAAAAACCCAAATGATACAAGTTTACAGTTGAATAAAGTCCACTAAAACAAAGGTAAACGTACTCAAAATTCGTCACTTCTAAATTATTTTACTACGTTTTACTATTATCTATGCTCCTAACGTGATCTGGAGCCCCTGGGTGGTGCAAATGGGTAAGCACTTAACTGCTAACTTAAAAGTTGGAGGGTTCGAGTCCACCCAGAGGAGCCTTAGAAGAAAGGCCTGGCAATCTACTTCTGAAAAATCAGCTATTGAAAACCCCTTGGAGCACAGTTCTACTCTGACACAAACAGGGTCACTATGAGTCGGAGTCAACTCCACAACTGGTTTGTTTGTTTATTTTAACGTTACCTCCATCTATTGTGTCTGATACCGTACAATGGTGTGTTCCAAGCCCAGTAGCAACAGTTCACAACTCACATCTGAGCATGGCTCTGGCCCAGGTGAGGCTCTAACACAGGAGGTGTTGAAAAGGTGGCAGGCGACCCCCAGGCTAATGCCTGTACCGTGTAGGGACAGACAGCGTCACCCCAGATGTGACCAGAGCTCTCCTTTGTGGGGGGCCCTGGTGTGATGTATGAGCCCCCTCTTCATCCAACCCCAGGAGGGAAGCTGGCTTTTGAAAGCAGTTGGAATGTGGCTATGGAGGCTGCTTCCCTGTGACGCCCCCACCCCCAGGTCCTTACCGCACTGGAGCTGGCATGGCTGAGCTTATCAAAGCGGAATTTCAGGTTTGACCTCGGGGAGTTTCTGCTTTTGGCATCTAAGAAAAAGGAGAATGTCCATGAAAACGGGGTGGAGCTGTAGAGGTCATGGAGGCTGTCGGGAGGCAGGAGGTGGGGGAGGGAACTGGATGGGGAGGCCGGAAAAATGTCTCCACAAGACACTGTCCAAACAGGCCAGGTGGCCTCTCAGCTGCCAAGACAGTTTCCTCATCTGTAAAATGGGGTAATAATACAAGTTTCCTGATGTTCTGGCATGCTGGAGCCGACTCATATGGACTTACTAGGGACAACTATTAAAGTTTCAGAAGTGTTTAGAGCTGGTTGTTAAGCACAGCCATTTAAAAAAATTAATTACATAAGCTTACACTTAAGTAAATTATATTAAAACAAAGGCAAATATACTCAAATCCATCACTTCCAAATTATTTTACTACGTTTTACTACACTCTACGCTCTTAAAGCGATTTACGTCTATTGAACCTGAATGGTGGTACTACTACGTAATGGCGTGCTACCCGGCCTCTCTTCCCAAGTCCACGTTCAGTGCTGTCACGTCGGTAGCTTGAAATCAACCGTGGTGGGAGTATTTACACTACAGAAATCAGCAAGGGTTACAAATCAAGGCTTGATATGCTGTTTTGTTGTCTAGGCTTCAGAAAGTGATGGAGAAATTGTTAATAATGCAGATTAAACTTAAAAATATGTGTGTCTATAGTCATTTGTCGTTGTTAGGTGCCGTCAAGTCGATTCCAACTCATAGTGACCCTACATACAACAGAACGAAATACTGCCCGGTTCTGTGAGCAACAATCCTCACAATCATTGCTATGTCTATAGTTATTACATTGTGAATAGCACAAAAAAGCTGAGTAAATATTCTTCCAGTATTTGAAAACTACAGTAAAACCTGCAAAAGCCGGAAATCGTGCAAGGCAGAAACCTGTCAGAGAAGGAGAACTCAAGTATTTTCTAATAGAGAGTGACAGAAAAGTGGTAAGACTGTACTCTGTCAAAGGTAGAAAACTTGCAAGACCGGGAAAACCAAGGCAGTCTCGTGGAGTTCCAGCTCTCACAGGTTTCACTGTGTTATCTGATTCGGGAAATAAGCTGCTCACGTCATTCATGAACAGATGAAGTTTTCTTCACTCATGTTTCACTCCCGCCTTATTCATAACATAAACTAACACATCCATCAATATTCATACCGGAACTACACGTGTTTGCCATTTGCAACCTTAGGTTGGCTATGGATGTAAAAGTTAGGCGAAAATCAATAGGCATTTTGTGAGAATTAATTGGCTATATGGAATTTTCAGTAAAGAATATTGTGTATTTTATCCTTATATGTAAATTGTGCTTCAGATTCTTTATAGCAGTAAGATTTATGATGACCATATACATATAGACGGTTGTGTGTGTGTGTGTGAGAGAGAGAGAGAGAGAGAGCGAGAGAGAGAGAGCGAGAGAGAGAGAGAGAGAGAGAGAACCAACTGGTAAACCTTCACCAGCTCACCCTGGCAGGGGCCACATGGGTTTCTGGTTTTCCTCTGGCTAAAGGAAGCTACAGCTCGCTCAGTTCCCCTGGAGACTTGCTGACTTGTTCCTGGTGTTTGAAATCAAGAAGTCCCACCCAGCGCTGTGAGTGCTTCCCTCTGTGACCCACCAATCCCCACTCTGGGCCCCAGGCAGCCCAGGTGTGAAATGCGGGAGGGTCAGAGCATCTGAGATCATGGTAGATGGAAATGGCAGGCCCTCCCAGGCCACCTCCCTCCCCTCAGCCCTGTCTCTCCCAAGACTCAGCTGAACAGCCTAGAGCAGGTTTCCAGATCTCCTCAAGCCCCATTTTAGTCCTGGGGGTACCCAGCACAACTTCCATGAAGGTAAAGGGCAGATCCTCAGGGTTTAATACTGGGGCAGGGGTAGGGGGGAGGTGGCCAAAGGGTGGTGCAATTAGCACTGGGGCTGGAGTTACCAGGCCCGTTCCAGATCCAGTTCCTCCCTGTGTGATGTTCAGCAAATGGCAGAAACTCTAGAAACCTCCCTTTACTGAAAACCTTATTTATTTTGATCATTAGCACTGACGATGAGCTAGGCTTGGTAACAGTTTCTTTCATTCATTCTATCAATATTTAATTAAGCCTCATTAAAAAAACAAACAAACCAGGGAACTTGTATAATTATCCCGTTTTACAGATGAGGAAACTGAGGCTCAGAGAGGTGAGCTTCTCGATGCTGCAGCCAAGATGCGAACCCAGCTCAAAGCTGCCCGCCCCCCGGAGGTTGAATGAGAGGAAGCAACTGCACCGCTCCCTCAATTGGGGAGCACAGGCGCACTTATGCAAAGAATGTTTTTGCTTTTGAGTTACCATCTGCACTTTATTCCCCGACATTGCATCCTCCCTTTGCCACCTCACGGTGAGAACCCCAGAAGCATTATGGCTCAAACCACCCTGTTGGCCCATTGGCCCTTTCTGTGTTTCTGTCATTTAGTCCGGGGTTTCTCACCCTCAGCCTACTGGCATTTGGGGCCAAATAACTCTGTGGTGAGGGCTATCTTATTTACTGTAGGATGGTTAGCAGCATTTCTGGCTTCTACCCACCAGATGCCAATAACACTTCCCCACACCACAATCAAGACAATCAAAATGTCTCCAGACATTGCCAAATGTCCCTGGGGAGTAAGGTTGCCCCTGGTTGATTCAGACTATTATTTTATTCCTGTTATTTAGCAAACATTAAATGTAACAGTTTTAAGTCTCTTGCAAGTGGTAAATTTATTTAATCCTCACGAAACCAACCATGTGGGGGTAGAAACTACTATTTCCCATCCTCTCCCCCATTTTTGCTCAGGGAAACTGAGGCTCAGAGAGGCTAAGTAACTTGCTCAATGTCACATTGCTAGTAAGTGGCAGAATCAGAATTTGGGCCAGGCAGTCTGGCTGCAGGGTCCTGAGCTTGCCCCCTGCTGTACTGCCTTCCTTGAGGTGGGGACCAAGGCTTCTATTTCTGGGCAACCACAGCCCCCTGCAATACCTATTGTAAAGGTCCAACTGGGTGCCCCTCTAACTCTTCACCCTGTCTCCCGCCCACCCCTCTTCCTCTGACCTAATGTAGGGAACACAGGGCCAGGAACCCACAAGCCACAACTGAACCTGGTAGATTTTACCTCCTTGACAGCTTTGAATCCACTTCCTTCTCCCCATTATCCCAGCCACCACCCCCATCCACGGCCCCATCACCCACACCACCCCAGTGTAAACACCCCACTGGTCTCCCGCCCTGTTCTCCCACCCCACTCCCCTCCTCTCCTGCCCCTCCCAGTCCTTTCTGAATGCAGCCTCAGCCACCAAAATGGTCCTTCTCAACAGCAAATGGCGCTCCTCGACTTAAGAACCTTCCAAGACTTGCTCCTCCAGTGGTTTCCACTGCTGGCAGGATAACACCCAGATCCTCGCCAGTCTTTCCATGACCTCATCTCTCTCCTCTCTCACCCCTCCTCTCCTTGAACTAGGCCACTTGCAGATCCCAGAACACACGTCTCTCTATTCCCTCCAGGACTCTGCATATGCTGTTCCCTCCACCTACAACACTCTTCACACCTCTTTGCCTTATATTGTTGGATAATGGCTATGACAAAGGAGCTCTGGAATAAGGGCAGGGAGGTCAGTGGAAAGAGCCTCCACTCTCAAATCCTACGATCCTAGCTCCTCCCCTATGAGATCTCGGGCAAATCATTTCACCTCTCTGAGCCTCAGTTTCACCATTCGTATTAAGATGATGAGAACACCCGCCTCTTAAAGTTGACGAACAGATAAAGTGAGCGAGCAGAGCTGACAGGCCTAACACCATGAAGGAGGAGCAGAAACTGACCAGTTCAGTGCACCTGGTGTGCATCCCCCATGAACTATGCTCAGAGCACTGCCCTCACCCTCCTGGCCCCTCCCAGTACACCGCCAGACGACCCTGCCAGATGCCACTGACCCGGACTCCGGCTCATGATGATGGGAGTGGCTGCCGCCCCCAGGCCAGGGCTCTCGCTGCTTGGGGACGGGCTGTAGACAAACACCTCCTGCTTGAAGGGCGAGGTTGTGGATGGCTGGCTGCTCTGGGGAGAGAGGCTGGGTGAGCGAGGCTAGCCTCAGCACGGCGGCCTTCCTGCAGCCCCTCCAAGCCCCACAATCTGTTACTGTTGAGTCAATTCTAACTCATGGCAGCCTTATGTGTTACAGAGTAAAACTGCTCCATTGCATTTTCTTGGCTATAATCTTTATGGAAGAAGACTGCCAGGCCTTTCTTCCATGGCGCTGCTGGGTAATTATGAACTGCCAACCTTTACGTTACTAGTTGAGCGCAGATAATTTCCATCACCCCAGGGTCCTTCCAAGCCTCAGTCTTCGGCAGGCCTGAGACAGGCCCCATAAGCCCAGGGCAGCCCCTGCCTCCCACTTCCCACTCTGACCTGCTCTTCTTTCCTGCTGCCTTCAACCCTGGCGCCACACTCTCCCAGCCCCCTCCAGCCAGGAGCCCCATGGCAGGGACACCATGCAGCCTGGCCTCCATCTTTCTGCTGCTGCGACCGTGTCACTCCAGGGGATTCCTCCTCGACCACCACCACCCCCAGAAGGTGGAAATGGCTGACGGCCACCTCTTGTTTTCATACCGCCATCCCCCCTTTATCCACATAGCCTGGAGTGGGGCTCTGCCACAGTGAGTATGTTAATGTACACAGGGGATGCCAGGCTGGGCCCCAGGGTGCCCTTCCCCGCCACAAGGCTGGACAGGGCCACACCTACCCCGCTGTCACACTCCTCCATGACCTCGCCTTCCCCCGCCGTGCTGCTGAAGCTGCTGGTGCTGGAGGAGGAGCGAGAGATGTTGGCTCGGCCGTTCTCCTTCAACTTCATGAAGGCCCTGCAGGAAACAGGAAGCAGGGTGAGGCCTGCTCACACACCAGGACACCCAGGCCCTCCCGGGGCCCTGAGAGCAGGGCAGGCCCCGGGGGAGATCGGAGCTTGCCCACCAGCCGCTCCCCTGGCCCTGTTTGTTGGTGTTTGTGTCCCAGGGGTTTCCTGGAGCAAGAGGTGCTCCCCTCAGCCTATTTGGAGGCAGTGAGCATATTCCAGGGCTCCAAACAGCTAAAGCCAGCTCTTCTCTCACCCGCACTTTCTTACTTCTCTTTGTTGGGGCAGATTTCCGGAGAGCTGGGGTTGGATGAGGTCTCAGACTTGATTTCCTGAGAAGAGTGTCCGCCATCCGGGGTCTTGGGGGTGCTGGATGCGCTGTCGCTGAGGAAATGGGAATGAAGAGGAGTGAGATCACGGAGGCGCCCGCAGACCCCACCCCACCCCCAGGCCCAAGGCAGAGTGTGGCCAGTTCTCAGCACCATGGGGGTCTGTGGGGTCAGAGTGTACCCTGCCCAAGCTCAGACGCCAGGATTTCCTCTCCCGCCCGAGTTCCCCCTCAGACACTGCTGCAGACAACAAGGTTTTCTGCTCAGCCGGGGGCTACTCCAGGCTCCTTGGGCAGAATAGAGGGCTCCCAAGGCAAGGGTCCTGGGAGGATGCCCCCAGCCCAAGTCTACCTGCTTACCCAAGAGGGTCACCCCGCCTGGCAGAGACACACGTCAAGAGCGGGCCACGGAGGGAAGAGAGTGAGGTCTGCGAAAGCCACCCCAGGACTGGGGAACAATGCAACATGCAGATGTTAGCAGGGCCACCCACTGCATGACCCAGGGGCACCATTCACATCACCACAATATGGCTCCCCAAGGGGGAAATGGAGAGCTACTGTTTAGGTGGCACAGAGTTTATGTTAATAGTAGTGGGATAATTTGGAAAAGGGTAGTTGCACAACATGAAGAATGTAATCAATGCCATATAAAAATTGTTGAATTGGCCAATGTTTTGTTATGTATGTTTGTACCACAGTAAAAAAAATTTTTAAACTAAAATAATAATAACAAACTTGTGTTTCCAATGGTCAAAAATAAAGAGCTCCCTGGAGAGGTGTGGCCAGGCGGCCCTGGGTACTAAGGACATCTTGGCAAAGGAAAGCACCAAGGGTTACTCTTGGCCCAGAGCCTGGGAGTTTCCTTCTCCTGTAGTATAATTTAAATGAGAGCTGCTAAAAAAAATTTAACAGAACATTCTAGAAGCCCTAAGGAAAGCTCAACTAACTCCGCTTAGTAGAATGAATCAAGGAAGATTTACGCAATAGGAAACATTTGAGTGAGCACTGAAAAAAAAACAAAGAAGGAGAAGAATCCAAGCAATGTTTTCAGCCTGGGTAAAAATGCTGCAGAAGTGACTTAGGAAAGTCCCATGGAGAGACTGGCCAAATCAGCCTCACTGGATAAAGAGCTGAGTGAGAGTCAGTGCCCAGGTGTCTGAAGTGGGGGACTGGGCTGGAGGGACATCATCTCCTGTAGCTGAGCAAAGCTATCCCCAAGGTTGGGCATCTGGCAGCTGTGGTGGTGGAGAGCTGACAGATCCCACCCACAGTCAGACTGGAGTCCTGGGGCCCTGACAGTTACCTTCGTGTCCGGCTGTCTCCCTGGCCTTCAGAGCCCGTGTGCAGACGGGGAAAGAGGCCTGACCGCCGCTTGATGGGGCTCCGCGACTGGTTCTTTGCCGTTGCTGCTGCCACGGGAGGCTGCCAATTAAACCAGCAAAATGAGTGCTCACACCCCAATCCCATACCTCCTTCCCTTCTTCCCCTCCCTGGTCGACAAATAGCTCCTGCGACCCCTCAACTGGCTCCAGCCTCCCTGGGCTGGAGGAGACCCCAAAAATACCAAGACAGAGAGGATGGAATCTATGGAACAGGAGCTGAGACCCCAAGACTCAGCCAGTTGCAGCCTGTTTTCTTAAGCAAAGCCAGGTGATCCCTGGAAAGAATCCACTAGAGGCAAAGATCCTTGGGAGAACACAGGGTCAAGGCCACCATAAGGAGAGCCCTACGGATTGAGGACAGACAGGGTGATTCAGGGAGCCACAGGCCGAGAACCACAAAAAGGTCCCTAGTGTGACCTGGTCCAAGCTGTCATTTTGTCAATGAAGAAGCTGAGAACAAGAGAGGGGAAGAGATTTGGCCAAGGTCATAAAGCAAATCACTGGCAGGATGAGGATAAGAACCCAGGGCTCCTGGCTCTCCATGCACTGCTCTCAAATAAACGACCCAGGCTGGGTGTCACCAATAGCAAGACAGGTTGAGAGGGGCAGGGCCAGGAGGGAGTCAGCCGGGAAGGCATCTGCTTCAGACAGAGGGAGTGATGGAGTTTTAGGAAGGGGAGACAGAAGCCTAGATTCATGTGTTATTCATGTGCTGTGCAACCTTGGCAAGCGGCAACACTCTCTGAGTCTCCGTCTCCTCATCCACAAAATGGAAATAATTGCCCTGGCCTGCTCTCTTCGCAGACCTCCTGGGACAGTAACACTAGACAATGCTATGAAAATATTTGGTAAGTTAAATAAAGTATGCAAGACCATTGATAATACTAGTCATCAGAATCATGATGGGTATGTTCTGATATTAAAAACAAAAACCCTAGTCTACACAAATCCAAAGCCACTTTGCTTTATAAAAGGATAGGCTATGTGGTTCCCTTGCCTTGCCAGCCTGGTGCAAGCAGACCAGGCCCACATTCACAGACCTGCCGGGCACTCTTCTTTAGGAACTGTATACAAAGCGATTATGAGCACAGGCTTTGAATCAGGGAGCTGCATCAAATCCCAGTTCTTCAGCTTTGCTGGGTGAACTTTAGCAAGTTACTTAACCCTTCTGGGCTCCCTTTTCTGCAAATGCAGAATGAGGGACACATCCTTACCTACTTCGAACAGCTGTTACGGGGATCAAATGAGATGATGGCTATGAATTACTTAGCTCAGTGCACCCATTAAGTGGTGGCAACCATTATCATTAATAACCACAAAGCAAGCACACCCCTCGCACAGTCACGGGCCCCAAGCCCTTGCGCAGAGAAATGCACCCCAGGGCCATTTTACAGAGCTGGCCCTAAGGAGGAGGCCCAGTTGCTGAGGAAGCTCAGGGAAGAGGACCACAGGAGAGCTTCCCGTGAGGGCCGGCCCCAAGTGCTGCTTTGGATGGAGGCCTCAAAGCACTACTTTTAAAGGGCAGGGATTGGGGTCACCCCCCAGGCAGCCTTGGTTTCCCTCTGTCATCCAGCTCACCCTGCTCTTGTCATCTAACCCAAGCCTGGGGTGGGTGCACCCTTTCCCCATCAGCCTGGGGGACCCTCCCAGCTCCCACGTGCCGCCCCAGAGCCTGCCGGCACTCACAGAGAAGGTGGTCTTCGTGACCTCCACGCTGTTGTGGGAGATGCCCCCGCTGAGGCTGCCGGGGATGCCCCCGCTGTGCTGCTTCTTCTGGCTGCCCACCATGGTCTCCATGGAGTGGCTGCGCACACGGATGGCTCTCTGTGGGGACAGCAGGGTTGGCCAGGGTAGCAGGGGCCTGAGAGGCGGCACCGGCCCCACAACCCGTCCCTCTTCGTGGGGTCTGCACAGACAAAGACCTCAGCATGTGCACACTCACATTCACACACACACACTCATGCTTACAGAGGCCCACAAGGGCCACACTACAGTCACTGCAATTTAGAGAATGCCCACATATTCTGTCCACGCTCTGGACATGGGAGCCTCTGCGGGTGGAGGCGACAAAGGGCACCAGCCAAGGGGGTCTGAGGGGTCAGGCTCCAGCTCCCCTGTGAGGTGGACAAAGGTTGTTATCCCATTTTACAGGTAAGAACAGTGAGGCCTGGAGAGCTTACTGCACCTGTGTGACCCTGGTCTAGTTTCCACCCTCTCTCAGATTCTTATCTGTGAAATGGGAACAATTACACACCCCACCACGGGATGCTGAGGAGGATTAAACACAGCCGGCGGGGCCAGGAACCAGGTCTCTGACTCCGAGTTGACTCTTTTCCACTAAACTAAGCTTCTTTCTGTTTAGCCACTGGACTATCCCTCCTGCTATCATCCCGAAGTGCGCTTTTTGCAACTTGGAATACGTTTTCCCCTGGCAAAACCGCCTAAGAAGCAATTATTTATCTATGCACTTAAGTCACCCAGCGGGCCATCTCTTGGGCTCACAGGGGACTTAAGACACGTTTTCAGTATAAGCCCACGGTCTGACACAGCTGCTGAGAGAGGAGGGCATGCACGCTCAGACTACATAGGAGTGTGGGACCTCAGGGGCATGAAGCTGCTCAAGCCACCTGGAGTCTAGTACCCACTTAGGACCTCCAAAGAGCACAGGCCACATTGGCAAATGGTGAGGTGTCAGGAGAGGACAACTAGTGTGGTCAGGGGTTGTCACAGTGCAGGTGAAGGCAGGAAGAACAGTAGAGAAACCAGGACTGTGGAACCCAGGGGAGGGATGGGCCTGGGAAGAGACACCACTCTCTCAGACGCTCTAAAGGGCTGCATTGCTCTGGAATCGGAACAACGGAGCAGGGATCGTAATGAAGCACAGCCCAGCTTGACCCAAGGGAGGATTTTCTACAAGTGAAGTCCTAGAGGATTCCAGCTACCCCGTGGACAATGTTCTCTCTGGCTCTGGAGGCCTTCGAAGGTGAAGTGAGAGTTCTAGGAAGGGGAGGCTCTCTTCGGTGAGTGTCCAAACCCCTGCAGCACCTCCCTTTGATCATTCATTCAGTCCCTCACTAACATGGCCGGGCAGCAATGGAACTCAGTGGTCAAAAGCACACAAGCTTTTGCGTCGGACTTCCAGGATTTATATCTGGGCTCTCAGCTCTACCTCTCATTAGCTGAGTAGCCCTGGTCAGGCTACTTAACTTCTCTGAGACCTATCTGTGAAGTGGGATGGATGATACTTACACCATGGGAGAAGACAGATAAAGCTCTCAGCAGACTGCCCGGCACATCATAAGTGCCTGATAAATGTGGCTATTCTTATTGGTAGGAGTCCCTGGGTGGCGCAAATGGTTAACGTGCTTGGCCGCTAGCTAACTGAAAGGCTGGCAGTTGGAATCCACTCAGAGGCGCCTTGGAAGAAAATCCTGGCAATCTACTTTACAACACCAGCCAATGAAAACCCTATGGAGCACAGTTCCACTCTGATACACATGGGATCACCATGAGTCGAAACTGACTCAACAGCAACTGGTTTGGGTTTTTTACTCTTACTGTAATAAGAAGCATTTGTGGCATGCTTTGCACGTGCCCAGCCCTGTGCCAGGAACTGGGGCGATGGCAGAAGGAGGGTGTAAGGCATGGCCCCTGCCTTCTAAGGGTGTACAAGCCAATTGGGGAAACAAGACATATGCCTACAATTGGGGCAATGTTAAGAGGGCCAGGGCCTGTGCGGGCTCTCTCTTTCTCTGCATTAATTAGTTGTCCAGGGCCCCCCAGGGCCTCAGAGTCACACACAAAGTCTCACTGATATTATGAGTAGCTGATACACAAGGTCAGCCCCCATGTTCCTGGGTGCCATAGCCATTATCTGGTCTAACGTCGCCTCCTTCCCCTTGGGACGGAGGAGTAGGTCATGGTCAGTTCATGGCAGTCATATGACCCAACCCTTGCCAGGAGAACACGAGAAGATGTCTGCTGGGGGCTTTGGGGAGAGGTCTCAATGATTCCATTGAGTGACATGTCTACATGTGACACCTAAAACTGCAGTCTTGGCACCCTGGGGGACCAAGTCTGTGGGATAAAGCTGAGAATGACAGAGGAGAAAGATGGGAAGAACTTGGATCCTGGCAGCCACATGGAGCCATGAAGCCTTGGTCTTCTTGTTAAGCGAGCTAACAGGTTTTCCTTATGTGTGAGCCAGTTGAGGCTGGGGATCCTTAGAACCTTGGCTTCAGAAAACTGACGTAGAAGGACTACCATGAGGCCACTGGGCCCTTTCTCACGTGTACTGGGGCATGTACAAACATGTTTCCGCTCAGGCACCTCACATGCAACCTACAGATGGTCTTGTGTGGAAGAACACACGAGCTTCTGTCCCTCCCCGGAAGTATCTAGTGAAGAGCTCAGTCTGTGCAAGGTGGTCCCAGGAAATCAACACGAACACTGCACCAACCAGGACCCATTCACAACCCAGACAGCAGATCTCTCTGGGATTGCTCCTAGAGGTCAGAGATTCTCCAAGCTGGTGAATGGCGGAGGGCTGCATCCTGCCTGCCTTTCTATCCTGAAGAGGGAAGCAGATCCAGGAGAGGGGGCCATTTGTAAATAATGCTGATATTTATGGAGCACTTAACTCATTTAGGAGTCCCTGGGTGGCACAGTTAATGCGCTCAATTGCTAAACAAAAGGTTAGAGGTTAAAGTCAACCCAGAAGTGCCTTGGAAGAAAGTCCTGGCAATCTACTGAAAAGTCAGTCATTTTAAATCCTGCAGTGCACAGTTCTACTCTGAAACACATGGAGCTACCCATGGGTCAAAATCAACTTGACGGCAACTGGTTTGGTTTTGGTTTAACTCATTTAAGGAGTCCCTGGGTGGTGCCAACAGTTAAAGCACCTGGCTGCTAACTGAAAGGCTGGAGATTCAAGTTCACCCATAGGTACGTCGGAAGAAAGTCCTGGCAATCTGCTTCTAAAAAATCAGCCATTGAAAACCACATGGAAGGCAGTTCTACTGTGAGACACATGTGGTCGCCGTGAGCGGAAACTGACCTGACAGCAGCTGGGTTTTGGTTTTAACTCATTTAAAGAACTTCACCATTTACCCAAGGGCTCCTCGGTCTAGGTGCCACGCTTTTCCTGCCTTCAGTTTTCCAAGGGGTGTATGACTTTATGATTCTGGGGTGATGAAGTGAATCGGGCATTCTGGCTACTTTAACCATGCTGTAGGAAACTGTTGCTAGGTGACTCTGTTCCCGGGTCGAGAGAGGGAGAGAGATGAGATGTCCTGATGTAGCTCATGGGGCATCTTTGGCTCAACCAAGAAGCCAGATGACATCAGAGGGACGAGGCTGGTGGGCTCCATGTATCATTCGCAAGAGTGGCTTGTCTGCTGGAGGTCATATTTACAAATGGCCCTCTCTCCCGAATCGACTTCCAGATAAAAGTGGATTTATCGTCTGGATAGAAAGGCAGGCAGGATGCGGTCATCGCCATTCCTTCGGTGCTGTGGTGTGTGTCCCCACCACTATCACCAACAATGACATTTCAAATTAATCATGTCTGCTCTGATATATTCCTCCCTGTCTCTTTCCAAAAAGCATTCAGTGTGGGTCACAAACCCTGTGTGACAGTATCTGGTCTACTTAGCTTCACAGGCATGATCTTATTTAATCCTTAGACCTCCAACACATAGAACAGGGATTTCACAGAAAAGGTCTCAAAAGGTTAATGATTGTCAAAGGTCACAAAACAGGTAAGAGATGAAGCCAGGACCCACGCCCAGGACCCTGGGCTCCAGATGAAAGCATCCCAAGACCCAAAAAGTGGTCCAGATTGAACATACAATTCAACTGGTTGATAGACTAAGAATGATTAGGAACAAGGGTCTCAGGGCCCCCCAAAAAAACTCAGAAGCTGATGTCAGGGAGGCACCTTCTCCTCAAATACTCTTGATGCTGCTGTCAGAGCCAGTGAGTTGAGTTTGAAGGGACAGTGGGCTGACGGATAATTTCAGAGATGTGTGGAGGCACCTCAGAAGAAAGTTCTGGCAATCTACTTCTGCAAAATCAACCATTGAAAATCCTATGGAGCCCAGTTCTACTGTGACCCACATGAGGTCACCAGGAGTCAGCGTCTCTGCTACTGGTAGGGTGGCAGGCTGCTGCTCAAAGTCAAACAGGAAGTGGTTTGAATCCTGGTTCTTCCTCTTGCCCACTGTGTGAACCTTTCTGAGACTCAGTCTCTTCATCTATGAAACACTGGTGACGATCTGTGCCATGAGGGAATGCCGTGAGGGTGACGTGAGAAAATGCATGCCAAACACCTGGCGTGACACCTGTCCGATCAGTGTTAGCGCTCCTCCCCGACTCTTGGGGAAGAAAAAAGAGAGAGGTGAGGGCTAGATCTACGCCCTAAAATAGGACTCAAGTTGGACAAAATCCTCTAGGGATAGGGCCTAAAGTACTTCACTTCTCAGTCTGATGTAGAGCTGGAAAGAGGCGCCAGTCTCAGACTGGGCAGGAGAGTCAGGGAAAGGGTGAAGGCTAGAAAGGAAAGAGGAAGGCGGGCTAAACAAAATGTGGAACGTGGAATCCTCCTCAGCCATAGAGAGAAATGAAGTCCTGATGCATGCCACAACATGGATGAACCTTGGAAAACACGATGTCAAGGGAAATAGAACAGTCGCAGAAAGACAAATACTGTATGATGTCACTTACATGAAGGAAACAAATACAGAGAAACCAAAGATTAGCGGTCACCGAGGGGGAAGGGGAAGATTTTGCTTAGGGGGCATTGAGCTTACGTTAATAGTGGTGGA